TGGTTTCTATAGCAAGCTCATGTGGCTATTGGGATTAAAGCTGTGTGTCACTGATTCATGGTCTGTAAGGCTGGCCAGTGTGACTGTTTTAGTTTTCTGACCTTCAGTCAAGCCTTACTTATTAAAAATACTAAAGAAATGTCACTATAAACAAGATAGACTTTTCCAAACTAATCAAAAGGCATACAGAATATTCAAATTAACAAAATAAGAAATGCAAACAGACACCAAGGAAATTTAGAGATTCATTCGGTTATACTTCAAAAACTTATACTCCCAAAATTGGAAAATTTACAAATGAGCAATGTTCAGAATAGGTACCACATATCCAAATGAAATCAAGACCAGATGAACAATTTAAATAGACTTATAATCACCAAGGAAATTGAAGCAGTCATTAAAATCTCCAAATTCAAAAGAGGTCCAGTGTCAGATGGTTTCAGTGTAGAATTCTACCAGATTTTTAAAGAGGAGCTAATATCAATGCTCTTCAAATTGTTCCACACAATAGTATCAGAAGGAACATTGCCAAACTTCATTTACATGGCTACAGTTTCTCTGTTACCCAAAGCACACAAAGATGCAACAAAGAAAGAGAACTATTGACCAATCTCCTTCATGAACATTAATGAAAAAATACTTAGTAAAACACTGGCAAACTGAAATCAAGAATACATTAAAAAAACCATCCACTATGATCAAGTAGGTTTAATCCCAGCAAAGCAGAAATGGTTCAACTTTTTAAACATTATAAAGGCAATACACAACAGTCTGAGAGACAATATCAAATTAAACAGGGAAAAACTCAAAGTGATTCCACTAAATCAGGGATAAAACAAGGCTGTCTACTCTCTCAATATCTTTTCAATATAATACTTGAGGTTCCAGCTAGAGTAAAAAGGCAAGAAAAGGAGATCAAGGGTATACAAATTGGAAAGAAAGAAGTCATACTTTTGATATTTGCAAATGATATAATAGTATACACACATGACCCCAAAAATTCTATCAGGTATTTCCTAAAGCTTATAAACACCTTCAGTAATGTGTCAAAATACAAGATTAACTAAAATATCAGTAGTCTTCTCATATACAAATGATGAATGGACTGAGAAAGAAACCGGGAATACATCACCCTTTAAATTAGCCACAAATAGCATTAAATAGACCTGTATGACAATAACTTTAAGACTTCAAAGAAAGAAATTGAAGAAGTTAACAGAAAATGAAAAGATCTCCTATGTTCTTGGATGGGTTGTATCTACATATTAAAAATGGCAGTCCAACAAAAACAATCTACTAATTCAATACAACCCCCATCAAAATTACAACATAATTCTTCACAGACCTAAAAAATCACAATATTCCACTTCATATGGAACAAAAATATCCAAGGTACTTAAAACAATCCTGCACAATAAAGGAACTTCTGGAGGTATCACTATACCTGACTTCAAGCTCTATTACTGAGTTATAGTAATAAAAAAGCTCGGTATTGGCATAAAAACAGTCAGGTAGACCAACGGAATTGAGTTGAAGACCCTGACATTAATCCACACATCTATGAACACCTGATTTTTGACCAAGAATCCAAAACTGTACAATGGAAAATAATAATATCTTCGACAAATGTTACTGGGAAAACTAGATGTCAACACATAGAAGATTGCAAATAGATCTATATCTATCACTATGCAGAAAACTCAAGTCCAAGTGGATCAAAGACATCACCATAAATCCCATTACAGTGAAGCTGATAGAAGAGTAAATGTGAAGTAGCCTTGAATGCATTGGCACAGGAGACCACTTCCTAAATATAACCTCAGCAGCACAGACACTGAGAGAAACAAGCAGTAAATGGGACCTCCGGTAAGTCAAAGAACATAGTAAACAACTCAAAACGACGGCATACAGAATGGGAAAAGATCTTCACAAGTCCTCATCTGATGGAGGGCTTATATTCAAAATGCATAAATAACTCAAGAAACTAGACATCAGAATACCAAATAATCCAATTAAAATGGGATACAGATCTAAGCAGAGAATTCTGAACAGAAGAATCTCAAATGGTCAAAAAGTGTTTAAGGGATTGTTCAACCTCCTTAGTTATCAGGGAAATGAAATCAAAACTACTCTAAGATACTGTCCTACACATGTTAGAATTGTTAAAATAAAAAAACACTGAGGACAGTTTATGTTGGAGAGGATGTTGAGTAAGGTCAACACTCCTCCACTGCTGGTGAAAGTGCAAACTTGTACAGCTACTTTGGAAATCAGTATGGTGATTTATACAGAAAACTGGGAATCAATCTATCTCAAGACCCAGTACTACCACTTTTGGGCATATTCCCAAATGATGTTCAATCATACCATAAGGACACATTCTTAACTATGTTCATACCAGCTTTATTCATAATAGCCAGAGCCTGAAACAATCTAGATGCCCCTCAACAGAAGAATGGATAAAGAGATATGGTGCATTTACTTGATGAATTATTACTCAGCTGCAAAAAACAATGAGGTCATGAAATCAGCAGGCAAAGGAATGGAACTAGAAAAAAAAATCCTGAGTGAGGTAACCCAGACCAAGAAAGACAAACACAGCATGAGCTCACTCATAAGTGGATACTAGATGTAAAGCAAAGGATAACCGTACTACAGTCTACAACTACAGAGAAGGTAGGTAGTAAGCAGGATTCTAAGAGGGACACATGGATTGTCTTGGGAAAGTAAAATACATGGAATATCCTGGGTTAAACCTGGGATGGAGATTGTAGAGGGGTGGGTTTTGGGGGATAAGTACAGGAAGGAATGGAATGATCGAGCTGAGGGAGGGACAGAGTAGGAGATCAATGAAAGAAATATCTTGATAAAGAAGCCATTATGGGATTATGGTGAAACCTGGTGTTAGCGAAATTCCCAGGAAACCATAAGGTTGACTCCAGCTAAGACTCCTAGCAAAAGTATAGAGTGTGACTAAACTGGCCTTCCCCTGTAATCAGATTTTTAAATACCCTAACTTTAACCAAAGAACCTTCACCCAGTAACTAATGGAAGCAGATGCAGAGATCCATAGTCAAGCACCAAGTGGAGCTCCAGGAGTAACGTCAAAGAGAGGAAGGAGGGATTATATGAACTGGGTGTGGGGTCAAGATCAGTATGGGGACATCCACAGAGACAGCTGAACTGAGCTCATTGGAACTTATGGACTCTAGATGGATAGCTGGGGAGCCTACATGAGACCGCACTAGGCCCTCTGCATGTGGTTGACAGCTGTATAGCTTGGTCTGCTGGATGGGTCCCTGGCAATGGGATCAGGATCTCTCCCTGGTGCATGAACTGACTTTTGGAGCCTATTCTCTGTAGTGGGATGCCTTGCTCAGCCTTAATGCAGGAGGGAGGGGCTTGGTCCTGCCTCAACTTAATGAACCAGGCTTTGTTGACTCCATATGGGAGACCTTATCCTTTCTGAGGAGTGGGTAACAATTGGTTGGGGGGAAGGGGAACTGGGAGGAGGGAAAGGAGGAAGAACTGCGGTTGCTATATAAAATGAATAAAAAATAATTTCCATGGGAGGGAAAAGTGAGTGAACTTTTGGTAAGATAAATCGTAATTGTTCCTAAGGTTACCATTAACGAATCAAGATGATGAGTACATATGTGAATATTCCAATCTGTCTGATTTTTTTATCTTTCAGAATCCTGTTTATTGAACTCTCAATTGTTTACATAAAATTATTTTGCTGACATTGAAGAAGCAAACATAAATCAAATCTGATAGACATTCTTTGCTTATTTTTCTTTCATATTTTAACTCATAAACTCATTTTTTCATTTTTAATTATGTATATATGCATGTCTATCTATGGGTTTGCGCAGTGTACTAAGAGGTGGAAAAAGGATGTTGGATGCCCTGCAGGGGGAGTTCAGGTGATTATGAGTTATCCAACATGGGTGCTCTTAACTTTGGAGATATCTCTCCAGCCCTTTACTATAGATAATAATATAGACCAATGAAAGTTAAAATAAAATCAAAGCATAAATAATCCCTTTTATGAAAATAACTTGTGACAAAAAAGAAAATAGTATTTACAATATTTGGAAAAATGCATCTTTGAAAAATGGTGGTTTGTCAGGCTAATGTAAGGGAAGGCAATGAGAAAAAGACTAAGAACATTCACAAATGAGAAATGTGGTAGGATGAAAACTGTATTTGTGATTTTTCTATTGCTGTGATTAAATGCTGTGAACACAGACCACTTAAGGAAGAGAGAGCTTATTTTTGACTAATGCTTATAGAGGGATAAGAATAAATGATGGGAGGAAAAGAGAAAAATGTTGGAGATGTCAGCCAGAACTATAGAAACAAGGAACTGAGAGTTAATCACCTCGAACCCAAGTAGGAAACAGAGGGAGGAAACTGGAAGTGGCTTCTCAAAGCTCACCCTCTATGATAGATTTCTCAAGCAAGGCTGTGCCTCACATACCTTCTGAAACAACGTCACCTACTGGTAAAAAAGTTTTCAAAGACCAGAGTCTGTGTGTGGTCATTCCTCATTCAAGCCAACACAAATGTTAATACCTACATTGTAATGAAAAGACTAGAAATTCCAAATAGTGCCATAATGATGTGTCATGGGAGAAGCTCTGCCTGTGCCCTGTTCTTTGGTGGTTCATGAGATAATAAAGATTTGACAATCAGGTTTGAAATGATAAGCTTTTGACTCACAGACTAGTTGAACGTAGATGGATATAATAGAGCCAAATGATGGTACTAAGGGCTTGGGATATTGCCAAGTTAGATAACACACAGGTTGAGACATAGCACTAAATACACAGAGCATGATAGTAGGTGCTATTAGTACTAGAACTCATGAGGTTGATTCAGGAGGAGCCAAGTTTCAAGGTCATTGCTGGCTATATTGAGAGTTTAAGCTATCTCTCACTTTGTTTTTAAAAAGTTTCCAAATCTCCCCAAATTTCTGTATTTTACAGGACACTCACCATTTCCTTTGAGGAACCATTCAAAATAAGTTCTCAGTGATTCTGGATTCTTAATAAGATTTGTCTTACCCCAGAAAAAATAGCTAGACACAAGAACATCTCTGGGATTTCTTATGAGATAGAGAATCTAAAATGGAAAAACATGGAAATAAAGGTCAATACAATCATTCCTCACCTTTTACCTGTCACAGTATGCATGAAATGTCAATCAAATATCCATGGGGTTTCCAAAAACATTTATTATTTTCATTTAGATAAAATATATGCATAGAAGCAAAATTTCTATAGTAAAAATTCTCTTTTATAATTTTATTTGATTTAGAAAAATGGAACAGCAAAATGGCTAAGATTGATAATAGTGTAAAACAAACAAACAAACAAACAAAAACCAAAATGGAGAATTTGACTCCTTCAATAGTTGTAAAGATCAGCACAATTATTGGCTATTCAATACCAAATATTTAGCCCTGAAAACATATATACAGCTAACATTGTACTGACTGAAGAGGTTGCAATTATGCATTGAAGAAATGTACGTTCATATACATATATGGATGTAATGATGATTAATTGAAAAAGAAACTGCAAATTTAAAAGAGAGAAAGGAGTATATAAGTGGGCCTATTGAGAGGAAGGGTAAGGGTATAATGCCATATGTAATTATGGTATAAAATGAAAAATCAATAATTTTTAATAAAATGAACTTTATATATTTCGTCAATTATTCTAGAACTCACCTCTTTAGGCATCAATTTCCTTAGCCAAGAGTTTACCAAATCTAGATAAGACACATATATATAGGTGAGTGATCACAACTTCAGTGTGCCTTTTTTAAGACAGATTATTTTTTTAAGTTTGTATTTGCAGTTTAAGCATAAAATATTTTCAGATTACCCAGTGGAGGCACTTTTTGAAAACTTTCTTAGTGACAAGGATCTATGATTGGATATCTCTGATCCCTTGTGGAGATCCTCTATCAGTGACGTGAGAGATTTTTGCCAAATAGCAAAAACAGAGTGGGTACAAATGAAACATGACTGTTGAACAATCTTCAGGACTAGAGCATTGATGCTTGGTCAGCCTGTTCCCCTGTGAACAATTCTGCTGTGGGTAATTCACCCACAGGATGTGGGACTTTTGTAGAATTAGCTAATTGATTTTGGTGACAGCAAAAGAGTACTATCCACTGTACACTAATGTTTGAATCTGCTTGACCTGTATATGCAGCTCTAGAAGGCTCCAGTGTGATATTTCACTTTCTATCCTAAATCTGCCCAGAATCACTGTGTGATGGCCAACATCCTGGTACTCTTATGTAGTCTGATGAGAGAACACATCAGCATCACCTAGTGCATGAGAATCACAGCTTCCTTCCTATAATGTACACAGTCAGAGTGCATTTCAGCAAGAACTATATGTTTTTCAGGGTAGCATAAGATCAAAGGGCATTTGGTAAAAGACTTATCAACCACTGGGTACTGACCTTGGCCTTGGAACTGAAGAAAGATTTGGGGAAAAGGTGTAAGGGAAGGTGGGAGGTGATGAGGCGTGGTCCTTCCTTATTGATTAATATTGAATATCCTGATTGAGTGTCTATCCATGGTGAGCGTTCCCAGATGGGCACAGATTGGATCCACTTGGGATTTCCTTTGGTCTGAATCAAGCAGACAATCTCAATCAGCCAGTGCGTTCCTGAAGAAGGAAAAGTGATGGTAATTTCAACTGTAATTATGAGCAAACCTCTAGTAGAATATACAACCCTGCAATTTACAGCATAGCTCTTTCCAGGTACAGAGACCTGTGATATTCACAATGTCCACATGGTTTAAGTACAAAACATATTCATCCAGCACGTTTCCTCTGCATCGTTTTCCAAAACTGGCAGTATACTCTATAAACACTCCCTGCCTACTGAACATCCCCTCCAGTCTTTGGCTGTCATCATTCTATATTCTGGTGCAGTGAAGTAGATTATCCCAGATATTTTCCAGAGGTGGAGTCATATCAGCTGTCCTTTGAGATTGGCTCCTTTCATTTAATATAATCCCACTGAGATACATCCATGCTACAGTGTTTGTCTTAGTACTACTTTTTACGGTGAATAAATCTCTTTGTTTCTATTTACCACACACACTTGTATTTATATGTATCTGCTCATTTTTTCAATAGATGTTTCTAAGCTTCATTTTCTCAGCTATTGTCTGAATCCTTTTCCTGCTTTCCCACTGTCCTTGGATTTTCTACGTTATTGCACTTTCAGTGTCAGCAGTTGAATATTTACCCAATGTTCAGTGCTTCCATCATCTGGCAAAAATTCCTCCTCCAAACCCTGTGTTGCCACTTTTTAGCCCTTTGAATTTCCAGCCTCTTTCCACTATCTGGAAAAGGTCTCTGCTAATTTTTCCCAACACTGTATTCTGTTCCACATATCCTTACATTCATGCTGTTGTCTCTTACTGATAATTCTTTTCTTTCATCTTATTGCTCTCCCTTTCCCCTCTCTCTTCCCTATAAAGACAGACAAACTCCAGAGTCTTCCTTAGAAACTACTGCCTTTGCTCTAGTGCCTTAGGTGATCCTCTGAAGACACAGGTCAGTCTAGAGGTATTACTCTGAGTAGAAATGTTCTCACACACAGTTCTCTGTGCCACCCACAAGATTCATATGGCATTCTGCTCATCACCCAAATGAATGAGGATCAAAGTCCTAATCTTCCTCAGATAGTCATGACCATTCTCACTAATGCTCCTTACCTGATTTGGGGTAAGTCACTATGACTGTGTCTTCATCTCTCATCACAAAGTTATTATGAATCTCTTCAATAATTTCTTTTTTAAACCTGATAGCACGGAAAGGTATTCCTTCAAACCAATTATAGTCTGGCATGGTAAAGAGTTTGTTGTGGTGTTGTGAGGAATCCAGCCTTGGCCACTTGTGAAGCTTATAGCAAATGCTGTTATGTAAGATTTTTAGTACAGTCAAAAAGTCATGAACACCACATAGTTTGTTATGAAAGTAGCTACTGATAGGAAAAGACAGATACTTTGACCTACACTCAAAGGTTGCATTGCAAAATTGTGAACTCATTCAGAGACATTCTGCAACATTTGTTAACCTGAGTTCATGGCCTCAAAGTAGAAACTCAGTAAAAAGTACAAACCATAGAAATGGGGTTTAATTTAAAATGTTTTATAATTCAATTTAGATTCCAATATGGTATTAAAGGTCCAGAAAATGAAAGAGTTCATGTAAAGTATTGCCATGTACAATTCTTAAAAGTTGTATTTGTTTTTTAGAATTTTATAGCACCTTAGCTTCCCAATATGACTCCAAATCTCTTTGTCCCCCTTCAACTCCTTCTTCCTCTTCCCATATTTATGATTGTTGGTGGAGGCTGCTTGTTTTTTTCCTGTCACCCAGTCCTGAAGTAATCACACAGAAAGTTTATTAATTAAAACACTGCTCAACATATTAGCTCAGGCTTTTTATTAACTAACTCTTACCTCTTAAAATAACTCATTTCTATTATATCTGTGTATCACCACAGGTTGTGACCTTCCACTTTGGCATTTATCTGTTGAGAGTTCTCTGTGTACTCTGTACCCCATTTTTATTAGGTTATTCATTCTTTTGATGTCAAGATTCTTGAGTTCTTTGTATATTTTGGAGATCAGTCCTCTCTCTGATATGGGGTTGGTGAAGATCTTTTCCCAATCTGTAGGCTGCCACTTTGTCTTGTTGACCATGTCCTTTTCTTTAAAGAAATTCCTCAGTTTCAGGAGGTCCTATCTATTAATTGTTTCTCTCAGTGTCTGTTCTACTGGGGTTATATTTAGGAAGTGGTTTCCTGTGCTAATGTGTTCAAATGTACTTCCCACTTTCTCTTCTATGAGGTTCAGTGTGACTGGCTTTATGGTTTTGATCCATTTGGACTTGAGTTCTGTGCATGGTGATAGATATAAATGTATTTGCATTCTCCTATATGTCAATATCCAGTTATGCCAGAAACATTTGTTGAATATGTTTTCTTTTCTATATTTTATATTTTTAGTTTCTTTCAATTCCATTGGTTCCTTTGTCTGTTTTTAGCCATATTAGGCTGTTTTCATTACTGAAGCTCTATAATAGAGCTTGATGTCAGGGATTGTGATGCCTCCAGAAGTTCCAATGTTGTACAGGATTGTTTTTGGCTATTCTGGGTTTTTGTTTTTTCCATATGAAGTTGAGTATTGTTCTTTTGAGGTCTGTAAACAATTTTGCAGGGATTTTGATGGTCTTTGCATTGAATCTGTAGATTGCTTTTGGTAAGATTGTCATTTTTACTATGTTAATTCTACCTACACAAGAACATGGGGGATCTTTCCATTTTCTGGTGACTTCTTCAATATCTTTCTTTCATGTTTTCAAGTTATTGTCATACTTGTCTTTCACTTGTTTGGTTAGAGTTACTCCAAGGTATTTTATGCTATGTGTGGCTATTGTGAAGGGTGATGTTTCTTTAATTTCTTTCTCAGTCCATTTATCATCTGTATAAAGGAGGGCTACTGATTTTTTGGAGTTAATCTCATATTGTGCTACATTACTGAAGGTGTTTATGAGTTGTAGGAGTTCCCTAGTATAATTTTTTGGGTCACTTATTGACTATTATATCATCAGGAAATAGTGAGAGTTTGACTTCTTTTCTGATTTGTATCCCCTTGATGTCCTTTTCTTGCCTTATTGCTCTAACTAGGACTTCAACTATTAAATAGCTATGGAGAGAGTGAAAAACCCTGTCTTATTTCTGATTTCAGTGGAATCACTTTGCATTTCTCTATATTTTATTTGGTGTTTGCTGTTGGAAACAAAAGAAGAGCCTTTTTTTTTCTAAAGCAAAATATCCTTAGACTCAAATTTTGAGGTCAATATGCCTTTATAATATACATGCTGGTTTAGTTTAGCAGCCCATACAATTAAATGTCTCTCTGTACTTAGTTCATATGGTCAAAAAATTCAAAGATAACACAATAATATACATAAACCAGACTCTGTAAATTTTCCATTTTTACATGACTTGTTTTTCTCTACTCCTTTAAATCTATGACTATCTGTACTCTGTCTCTTTCAAGACTTTACCCTTTTTTAAAAGAATTAACTTTATTTTATGACTCTCTATACTCTTTGTTCTCTCTTCTAAGCCTACGTACATTTATCCTACATTTTGACTCATCTGGATTTGTCTTTTTTGCATATCTGTAATTCTTTACTGTCCAGGAGCACTTTTTTTTTCTTTCTTTTTTTTTTTTAGTACTTTTATTAAATTATAAAAAGTTTCCATTTACGCCCCTCCTCCCAACG